ACTAAAGTGGTACTTGAATTAAATGAGTACGAGCAAGAGACTAACTTTTGAAAATGAAATGATACACTGTACTTGAATGAATTCCTCGGCAAAGAAACACTAAATTAATCAGTTGAATTCACTGAGGGATTTTACTGCAACAGCACCGGAGCGCAGAAAGTTGATTTGAAATGTCATTAGATACACTGATGATGATAATTTAGTCTCATAGCTTATTCTAGTCTGTTTATTACACCAGAAAATAGTTTGAATTTTGTGCCTAGGATGTGAGGACAACACTCCTTCCATACAAGTTACATATAGAAGTTGGGGCTAGATCTGTTAAAATGTCCTGAGACCCTACATGTGGTTGCTGGGGCTGCAGACAGGTCATATGCCATGAGAAGAATAAGCAGTGTGTGTGTGTGTGTGTGTGTGGGGGGGGGTGTGTGTGTGTGTGTGTGTGTGTGTGTGTGTACTTGTCTGGGATCATTTTCCCTGTAAAGATGGATCCACACTGACTGACTCAGTTGAAAGTGAAGGGATCAGGAAACATGCTCTCCATTGTCCTAGTATAGCTTACTGATGTTATTAACATATAGTTAACTTGTGTATACTCATTACTGGGATTCAAACATTGTTGGGTTTGTTGGTTTCATGGAATTGTAAACCAGAATACACCAGTAGACTTACATGCATAATCCATCTTAGCATTAGCCAAGGTCATCAGGGTGTTTTCGACAGAGACATTTTCTATATTTAGGGATCCAACGTCGTCATAGACCTTCTTTACTCTGGCAATCAAGCTGTCTGTCATAGTCCTGATCTCATCTGGAGACAGGTCCCACCTCAGTGTGTTCCTTGCATGTCCTGCCTGAGCGCAGTGTCTGGCAGACAGCACTGACCCACTAGCGATGGTCATTCTCAGATGTTTACAGACCCTGTAAGAAAACCGGACCTTTTAATACCCACCGCCACCCCCCAAACGTACAATATTTTCTGTTGCTCCATAGTCAAGAAAACGATCCGCTCGAATAGGTGGTATTAATGTAAGCACTATCTTCATGGACACACTCGACACACTTCTTTCAATGTTATAACCGGTGATATTTTCCCCTCATCCATCAGTGTAGAGTTTCATGCCATGGCAGTGCGAGCGGAAGCCTTTCAAACGAAGTTCATAAAAGCGTGGAATAACTGTCAAGCAGCCAAAACGTACAAAACAGCTCAGCTATCCTTAAAGTGCCAATAAGCAGGAGATGACACTTTGTCAATTTAAATTATTTTTAGTTGTGGACCGGTGTCCGTGGAAGCAGAAGAGAGAAATTTAAAGTTGTTGAACGTAGTTTACCAATCTGTCACACATACGTAATAAACAACTTCAATTTAGTGGACTAGTCCATAGTGGACTATGTTTAGCATACCTCAAATGTGCTCGGAAAGCTATAGCTGTTAGCAGATACATGCCAGCAGTATCGTGCGATTTCTTTCAGCAAAAAAAAAAAAATATAATTACATAAAAATAAAAATTAACCCCTTTCTTCCTCCCTTACGGTGGCTCAGTCCCTGTAGTCGCCGCAATGAACGGTATCTCTCCCCGTTTCTCGCGTGGGAACCGCTTCTTATTTCCGTTGTTAACGCGCAGGCGCAGAGGAGGAGGACGCGATCGATCCGACTCGAGCCCTCCTCATGACGCGGTAGCAGCAGACAGCTGGATAAGACCTCAGGTAGGTGGGCGGGAGGGGGACACACACTGAACAGCATCCTTTAATAGAGTGTTATTTTTAATATGACTTCGTGTTGTTTGTAGGGCTCCGAGGATGACCTCTGTTTTCTCTCCTCCTCCTGTTTTCCTGTCTTGTTTTGTTTTTGGGTTGTGATTGTTTTAGCCAGCATCACACAAGCACCGCGCGAGCCTTGTTTGTCCGGACCGTCAGGGTGTAGGTTTCCTTTAAAGACAAACACTTGCCAGCGCCACTGGCTAAATTATAATTTTATTTTTGCATTTATTTGAAATAAATGTATAAAGTCAGTGCAGTGAATGAAAACACCCATTATGCTATTACATCACAGCTTCTGCATCACTGCATTTACGTGTGTCAACACACGAAGGGAGGAGTAGCTGTGCTAGCTAGACTCAAATGAGCATAATGCTTGGTTTCAGCACGTGATAGACGTATGAGGCAATAGTGTTTGTGTCTGTAGCATCCCGCACTGTGATTCTGTGGCCATGTTTTTATTTTTTTGCCCCAGTTTCCCCACAGACTTTTTGCCTCAGTCCGACTTGGAAAAATCAAGCAGTAACTAGCCTTCTGAGGGGCAAGTTTTTTTTTTGTTATAGGCAATAAAATGACACGAAACTGCAGATCGCCAGTATCAGTTGTAGTGCAACTTTGTAGCTGTAGAGATTTACTATCAAAATGCAATGCAGTCGTTTGATATCCTCCTTCACTGCTACAGAGTCCTTAACAAATGCAAGATTACTACTGGCACCCAAAAAATAACCTGGGATAGTTGAGCCCAGGTTTATAATTAGGTCATAACTACTATCTCAGCCTCTTCTAAACCTGAGAATATAAAAAGCAATGTATTGTTGAATAAAAAATGAAATGCATATATTATATAAAAAAAATCTACTCCCTAAGCCAGCTTCTTTGTTTTGAAGTAGTGCCCACTTTTAATAGAGTCACACTGATACTGAATTTTTGCATTGTAATGCCCGTATTGACTTTTTGGGGGTAAAAAATATTCAATAATATAAACATGTAACTCATAAATCAGAAATTAAACTGGAAAAAGTAAAAGGTTATTCTTTATTAATCTTTATTAAATATTCTACATTATTTATATACTTGTGGCAGAACAGCATCATTCAATAAAATTGTCTGATTGCTATATCAGCCAGAAAATACAGTCTTGAAAAAGAACGTTTTCACTGGACTGTATGCACTCTAGTGAAAAACTAAGTACATGCTGTAATTCAGTAGGTTGTAGAACCACCTTAATGTATAACTGTGTCACTCTCTCACATTGCTGTGGAGGTTTTTTGGCTCAACAAATCAAATCAAAAACAAGCCGAAATCATCAGCCCACCACCAGACAGTTGGTAAAAAGTGTTTGTGCTCATTTTAAATTCGACACTCTGGTCTTGTCTGTCCAAAGGACATTGTCCCAGAAGTCTTGTGGGTTGTTCATGTGCAAGTTTGCAAACTAAAGCTATGCTGCCATGTTCTTCATCTAAATGCTCCAGACCAGCAAGCTGCAAAAGTTAATCAAGTGCATTTGATAAGTCGCATCTGCCTGCTGCTTACCCTCATAATTCCTATGGAAGCAGTAGGTGTGTACTTCAGAGGACTGCATAGAGTCTGTCTGAGTTTGATTAAATAAGCACAATTACAGTATTTTATACTGACTTATATATCAGTTTATGCATTATTTAAGCATGTGTTTGTTATTTTTATTATGAAATGGCACCTCGTGAATTAGTAATTCAGTCACCACTGAGTGGTTTCCTTTCCATTTGATTCCAAACCCCTTCTTGTCTCTACCAGTTTCTAGGTAAAAATGGCTGTGGAAAAGCGCTTAGCATTCTCTATTGTGCAGTTCCTACGAGATCAAACACATTGTGGTACTTTAAATTCTGATGAGCAGGAAAGCCTCGAAGGTAGGTCGACTCACTGCACTTATGCCTTAGAAAGTGTCTGTGCAAACACTGGGCACTCTGCCTTGTCTCATCCATTTCAGAGTTCTGAATCTGCACAAACTGTACATACATTATGTCCCTTTTCTTGATAGTAAGCTAAGAACTGTCAAGGTAGTAAGAAAACATGACCAAAATCAGGCTTTGATAAGCAGTGCAGTTGAAGAGAATTATTCAAATAACTTGCTCTGAGCGTACAGCCAAGTTCTGACTCAACATGATTGTCCAGTTAACTCGAAACTACTCTGTCATATGTTGGCTGATTCTCCACCACAGTTGCTATACAGTGCTTGGAGACCACCTTCAAGATCAGCTCCAGTGACTGTCATCTTGCAGTGCCACAGTCACTTAGAGAGATATTCCTCAATGCCCTGCTCAAGGTGGGTAGTGAACACTTTAAAGTACTGTAAAATACATAGTACAATTATGCCGACTTAATTACACCGGTGCTTTTTTGTGTCAAGTCAGAATGTCCTGTGTGTTTATTCACTGACTCTTTTATTTTTCATTTTCACAGAATGACAATCTAACAATACCAGAGAGCTCCCCATCTCCTGAAGACATCGAACGAGCAGAGCTGCTTAAGAATGAAGGTAATCTTGAAACACTTCACATCTGATTACATTAGGTTCATAAATAAATACGGTGAGCTTCTATATTAAATGTTTTGCATCAGCTCTGATGCGCTTCAGTGGACATGTATGCATTATCTTATTTTGTATTATTAGTACTTAATTTATAATTTCCTATTATTACTATTTTGTTGAAGTGATTGAGTGTTTCTTGTAAATTCATCCTCCACAGGGTTTGGAATGTTTTATTGAATTGTGCTGTCAAATTGTTGTGGGTGGGGACCACACTGATTTCATTTATCATCACTGGAGGCATCATGATTAGTTTCAATTCTATTTGTCGAGATGTAAATGATTCTGTAGCAGTGCAAGTTCAGTTGATGTTTCTCAAGTGCATTTGAATCTAATTTTGTGTTATTTTCCTCATTATCTATCATATATACACTGTTAAGGTGATGGATGCTCATATTAAAAAGGCCTCATTGAGCCAAAAGCTCAGGCTTCATCAGTGCAGTGGGATCCTATTCCTGGCTGTACATGCTGCCCGGAGACTGGAATGTGCTGTCTGGCCTCTGTTGGGTCATAGTGAGGGCTCCAGACACTGGTGGAGGCCTTCCTGCATGTTTCTGTGTCGACATGTTGGCGTCCACTGCCACTTTGTCTTTGCTGTTGGTTGCGGCGACTGGGGGTTTCTGGGCGGGTGTGTATGGGTGTTTGCTCTCTGATGATTTGGGTGGCCTTGCTGGGAGTAGGCGTGTTCTGATGTTTCTGCTGTTTCTCTGTCCTTGCTTGAGTGTTTAGTTTCGGGGTTTTATTCTGGTGGTTGGATGTTGGAGAGGATTATGCATGTATGTTCACAAGTTTAAAAAAGGTGGAGGGTGGTGTTCAGATTTCTGAACCTGTAGCTGGTGGCACATGAAACATGTCAATTTGCTTTCACCTACAAGATTTAAAAACCTGCCAATGCTTTTCTAAAGCTCAAGAAAAGGAAAAAAAGACACCTTATATTATAATCTATCACCCTAAAGCTGAATTGTCATCCTATTTTTTCATAAGATTGACTGAACCAGTCATGAGCTTTATGTTAACTTTGTTGTTATAACTACACACTTTGTTTCTTTAGGAAACAATCACATGAAGGAGGAGAACTACAGGAGTGCAGTGGAGTGCTACACAAAGGCCATTGATCTGGATCTAAGAAATGCTGTGTACTACTGCAACAGGTATTTACTGAACTGATATTTTACGCTGTTACTTATCTGAACTTAATTTTGTCCTTTAATCATGATTTGCACATTTGTATATAATGGCAGACAGTAGACAAACAAAGCAGAGCCAAGTGTGATGTAATGCTTGAACTGTTCGAGAAAGTGCTTGCTGACCGATTCCCTCCCTTTTTCATTACCCACCTGAACACAAACATTACACAGCGCTCTGAATTTATTACTTGCAGGGCTGCAGCTCACAGTAAGCTGGGGAATTATACCGAAGCAACTAGTGACTGTGAGAGAGCCATTGGGATTGATCCGACCTACAGCAAAGCATACGGGAGGATGGGGTTGGGTCATTTACTATTAACAAGTCATTTTGAAATAAACTGCTCTCTCCATAATATTTTCCAAAAATGACTACTCACTGTTTCCTCTGTGGTTTCAGGTTGGCATTGACAGCTATGAACAAGTATCCAGAGGCAATTACCTACTTCAAGAAAGCTTTGGTATTGGACCCCGAGAATGACACGTACAAATCCAACCTGAAAATCGCAGAGCAGAAGCAGAAAGAAGCAACCAGCCCTGTGAGTAGAAACAAGCCTCTTGCTTTTAATCCTCTCCACATGTGTAGCATAATGTAATTGGGATTAATGTTGATATTTTCTTATTGGACTGTCGTTTACACATCTCTGCCACAGATAGCAGCTGGACTGGGATTTGACATGGCTAGTTTAATCAACAACCCAGCCTTCATCAGCATGGTAAGAGCATGAGTTCTAACAGGCGCAGCTTCCATTCAGGAGCCTCAGGATTGTTTTTATTTTTTACTGGATTAGTCCCAGGAGTGATAGTTAGCCTGTTAAACAACCGCAGTAATTGTCTAGTAGAAATGAGAGCCTGACAACCCGAGCTCATTAAATTATGACACACGGGAGCGTGCGTTTGGCCGAGAATGTTTTTTCCGAGCACGCCAGGATTTTATTGCAGCATCAAGGACAAGACACATCTAAATCCGATAGCTGTGTATGCGCATTCAGGCCCCACAGCGCTAGATGGTAGATTGTTCTTCTGACAAAATTGCCAGTGTGATAAAAAAAAAATTGCCCTTTTATTATGTACGTGAGAAAC